CCGACCAGCCCAGGAGTGACCCAGCCTACGCAGCTCAGCCCAGCTCTCCATCTCCTCACCTCACCTCACCTCCTGCTGTTGTTCAACACCCGGTTACTACTCATCGACAGGACTACGCACTATTTCCCTCTGTGCATTTTGTTATTTCTCCTCATCACTGTACATAATAAATCACTGCTTGCATCGAAGTCGGCTACCTGGGTCCGCCTCTTTCTCGTTCGCTCACTGACAGGTGCGAACGGCACATAACAGTTTGATTAATGACTGTACCCATGTCTGCTTTAGTTGCTCTCACACTTCTTCTAAAACCCTGCAGTTTTTTTTCTTTTAGTTCTTGTGGTGGAGCATGAATTCCATGTCCTTTCAAAAGCATATTTATGTCTTAAGGCTTTATCAACAAAATCAGCGGAATGTCACCCCAAGGACAACAAGTGAGCTTGCATGTAGGTGAGAAAGGAGCAGACAAAGGAGCACAGCTTGGCAAAATTTGATGCCTGAGATTGTGGTCTCTACTATGCAATAGTGTAAATGTAAAATACAAATAATACAAATAGTGGGCTAAAGTTACTATTTATGCATTATCTTTATTTATTTGTCAGTGTGAATGGTAAAGGTCAAATTCAGATCTGAACTATCAGTAAAGAATCTGAAAAATGATGTTAATTGAAAACGTAAATGTCCATTCATAATGATAATGTACATAATTCAAATTAATGTCCCCATTAACTAATAAATTTAATCTTAATAAACAGTATGCTACCACCTTCATGTCTGAGTTCCCTAAAATTGCTATGAGTGAAGACTTCTTTCCAACACCTTGCCATATTGTTTAATTCTATTCATTTGTATCCTCTGCTCTGTCTGGCAGACTTGATTAGAATGAGATTCAGAGGCAGAGTTGTCGCATCTCTGGGGAATCATCTGACTGACAAAGATTGAGTGGATGTCCTTCCTTGAAAGGCAACTGGCTGATTTGCTAATTTCAAAATACAAATTGATGATAACACACACTTAACACACACATGCACACCGGGACACACACACTTCCATGGATAGCTGTGTTTCAGACCTTTCGGTATTTCAACAGCGGATATGCCGGCCCAAGAGAAATAAAAAGATATGTCACTTTCTATTTAGCTCAAAAACAGGGTGCCTGTCCATCATTTTAATGTTTCAGTTTTTGAGTATGCATTGCATTTCATCTGGGGTTGGAACAGGGAGGAGGCAAAATATTTAATGGGTGGAAAGGAACAAAAAAGGCAAGCTTTGGTGACTTTTTTTTACCTGCTACTATGGCAGTTATAGTTTTACAAAAGTTACAATTCATGTTTTAATTTATTTAACTGTTATAGCTTATGTTTCTTCATGCCAAATATATTTTCCATAAGCAATTTATATTTCAGTGCCATGAACCATTATTCAAATTGCATTTTTCTCTGCTTTTAGTTTCAGATTGGTTTTCAGTTTGTTCTTAGCAATTTTTAAGTATTCAAGTTTGAAAGGTCACTTTGTAACCCACCCTAATTAATTAAATTTGTTAGGAGCTGCTGTTTTGCTTTGTTGTGCAAGTTGTGTTCCTTGAGTTTTGACATGCAGGCTTGAGAAAATACTGATTAAATGAGATTTATTGCTGTCTCTCACTTGAAAAGAAACTGCTGGCTGCTCTAAATAATCCTGTGTCTTGAAAGTCAGAGTAACATGAAAATACATTCCTTATCTATGTGTTACAACACTCTGTCATAAGTATTAGTACTTTAATAAACATGTATTTCTTTGTTGCCCAGTTACATTCAATGAAATGACAGCTTGAAGGCGTCAGATGCATCTTAATAAAATCGACACTGTGCAATATTAGATCTGTGAAAACAAATCTGGACACAAGATGGATATTTATCTGAACCAAGCAAGCAGTAGTGATTATTAATCATTGTTTTTCATTAATGTTTTTCAGTTGTTCACTTGTTATTTAATTATAACTTATGAATTCAGATGTTTCTGTTAACGATTCATTCCACAAATCCATTTAAGATACAGTTCTTGCTTGGTAATAGATATCAGTTGTGGAATAGGTTTTGCCATGTAGCCAAGGGGATTTGTGTATGTGGAAGGGGAGTATATTAATTCTTAACAAACCAAATGTGATCAGCACTGATGATCACAGTGAAATTCCCAAGTAAACAAAATTTGAAGGTACTTCATTAGTTTCTAATATACAGTATGTGACTGGATTTTAACCAATGTAAGCCACAAGATAAAGCAATACGTAATACTAAATATATATTTATGATACAGGTTATCAGTTTGGGGAGAGTCATCCTTGCTACAGCAGCGTTGCTTACAAATACAAAGGCTACAGTATAAAGCACACAAAAACTGTTAAATCGGTTAAGGACAGAATGACCTCAAATGTACTTGTGATAGTCATTGTACAGATGGTCTGAAGTTAATAGTATGGGTGATTTACTGTGGGCAGCACTGTCCAATAAATATTATATCTTCATCTTGTTTTAGCTCACTTTCACTTTATTCTGAGCATGTCCTTCTGACTGTGGATTATGGCCATAGCTGGTAAAAATAGGCTCTTTGAAGAACAGTTTCCTGCTCCTCAGGTCATTTACGATTATGCCCCCTGTGGGTGCACTATGAATTTAACAGTATATAAGCCCTTTACTAGACTTCCCATTTCTTTATGTTTTCCATGCCTGTGTAAGGCCATAATAACACAATAAGAATAATACATAAAAATAAGAAACATGTTGCTGAGGGTTTTTGAGGGGTTGGGGGAGGGTTGTTACACCTCAAAATGAGTCTTATTTAATTCTTCATTGTAGAATTTTGAAGTCATTTAGAATGGATGCTGACAAACTAGATCACTTCAGTCGGCTCATCATAATCAAATGTGTTCAAATATATCTAATCTAGGCTAAGGGTTTACTGTATTAATTACAGGGCCGTGGGTACTGGACATTCAAACTTGTTTGCTTGTTTATTTCGCCTACTCTCAGTTATCAGCCTTTGAGCACAGAAGGCCCATTGTTATTCTTTGCCCCTACTCATCATGTTCTTAGCCTGAATGCAAATCTGTTATCCTATGGTTCGCAGAGTGTTTGTTTTTCTGTGTAGCTGTTAGTTGCACTGATGAAAAGACCACCTGTCATCCACCAAACCTTTGATTAGATTAGGAGGTCCAAGGGGTGGATTAAATTGGTATGAAATCTCATGCAGTGCTTATTGTGTCATTATCAGAGCTCTGATGTGTCCCATACATATACACACACACACACCTTTTTTTTGTCTGTGTGTGTGTGTGTGTGTGTGTGTCTTTTGTTATCTGTAAATCACTTATAGTAGAATTGCATCATTTATTTTTAAGGTGTTTTGAAATTGTTTACAGTTTTGACTTGATTTTGGTTGTAAATTATAGTAAGATGCTTTTAAAGTAAAAAAAAGAAAAGAAAAAACATTTAGGGCTCTCTATTATTTGTGGACCGAGCTTGGCCAGGAATATATTAACAGATGAGAGAAATGCCCCTTTTTAAATATTTAACAGGCATAAGCAGGAAAACTTGTTAGCTGCATTTTATGATGTCTTGCATCATAGTCCCTGGAGTAAGTGATTGTGAATCAAATTCACCCCTGATAAAAAATAATAAAATAAAAAATAGCATACTTATGAATACTATAGCTTTGGTTTTGACTGCTAATGTGGTCTGTATCCATTCTCAAGGAAGGCAGCTCACGGATTGCAAGATTCAGTGCTGTCCATTGAATCCTAAAAAGAGGCTAGGGTCTTAACTGAGAGGAGGGGTGAAAATCCACGTTTCGTTTTGTGAATGTCTGTGCCATTTGTAGCTATAGAGGGCAAGTTGCTCCTATTGTCATTCTAATTCGAAACTGCACCCTCTCGGTTTCTCCCATGGCAGCTCTCGTTCCCAGAGTGAGGACCCAAGCCTCCCAGCCTCGCACTCAGCCACAGCCACCCAGACAGCCAGACTGAGAGGCAGAGAGAGAGAGAGAGAGAAGAATGGAGGGAGGGAGGAGTCTAGTTGTGAAGCTCTATCCCCTGAATCTGTCTACTATGTGAGTGGTAGAGAAAGAGAGAGAGAGCATGAGAGCGAAAAAGAAGGAGGGGGGCAAGTGAGGGCTGAAGAGGCTGAGAAAGGATGGGGAATGAGAAAGCGTGTGAGCGAGAGAGAAAGAGTGAGCGTGTATGCTCAGAGTCAGCAGCGAAGACACAGTCTACAAGCTCACATCAACACCAGAGTGTGCAAGGCAGAGCTGACCATCGCAACTCTGAAGAGTGACACAAAGAGGAAAGGGACACAGAGAGAGGCAGAAGTGAAGAAGAATCAGCAGAAGAAGAGAAGGACCGAAGATAGACTACCAGCCTTCCACGGGTAAAAGGAGACACCACTGAGGGACTGTAGCATCCACCCCCCCTCACACCCCCCAACAGCACAGAGGAGCACTGTCTCATCTCGTGCATGTGTTTGTGCCTCCCAACTTCAATTTCACACTCGCCTACTGTTTTTCATAGGTTTTGCCCTCTACACTCCCCAGTCATGATCCCTTGGGTCCTTACGCTCCTGTGGATCTCCGGATATGGTAAGTTTTCCATTTTAAGTTGTTTAGTCATAACATCTCGTGTGCTTGTCATTGCTGTGTTACTTGCTGGCTAGGAATTGTGTCTCTGAATTCATCTCTTGATGTGACATCTACGCTTGTGCAATCTGTGTTTTTAATCGCTTCTAAAATAGCACTCCCATGTATACTCTTATGTCTGATGCAAAGGAGAAAGGAGGAAATTCTAGGAAAATGAGCTGTGAACAGTTAGCCTATAGCTTGGACTTTTCCCCTTCTGTAGTTTTTAATAGCTTTCAAACCAGACAAGTTAAATACTTCCCATGCAGCCTTGATATTCCTGTCACACACACAGACACAGACAAACAAAGCCCCCTAACCTCAGTCCGGTTCAACCGAGCATTCGCTTCTGAGTCACATTGTTTTGAACTGACAGTCCTTCCTTATTGAGCCCATGAGTCCAGCTGCGGGGGGGGGTCCGGCCAAAAGAAAAGAGAGAAAAAGTTAATAGCGACACGCTTCAGAAGACAGACTCGTGCGTATAGCCGGGCAACTCCAGCCCTGTGGACCGTGTCTGCTGATGTTATTTTTATTCCGAGACGGTCTATTTGTGACCAGTATGAGGACAGATTAGTTGTTTCCCTAAATTGCCACCAGGTGGTTGTCTTTGGAAAACAACAGAAGTGAGTAAAGTACAACAGACCTCTGCCTCCGTGGTGTCGGTGTGATATACGGACGCACACAAGGCTGAATAAGACAGTGGATGTTTGTCATGCTTGGCCCACAATGAGCGCCCTGGTTTAAGCTCCACAGGCTTGGGGTCAATGACACAGCCTCCATCTCTTTTCAAAGTTTGACCCCAGTGTGCCAGGCTGCATTCTAAGGACGGCTCTGACTGAAAGAATGTGTGTTGCTTTGTGTCTATATATGTGTGTATAGTTAGATCCCAGAGGAAGTTTGTTGAAAAGCAGTACAGACAAAGCAAAATCCACTCCTCTCCAATCTGATAACTCTGTTTGCTGACACTTTGTGTTGAAATTGACAGCTCAAAATCTGTAACACACCGCTAACACAATGCCGTAAATCAAACTTGGTAAACAAGATCATACTCCAGCATTGAATTCAGTTGTTCCAAGTGTTGGTTTAAAGCCTATATGAGACAGGAGAAAAAAAAAGAAGATTATTCATAAAACACAGCTATTTATTCTGATTATACATTTCTGCTGAATCACTTTTCATTTAGAAACCAGGAGAAAATAATGATATTAGGACAGTTCAGTTTGGAACAAACTGGGGTGATGAATTCCCTTTCAGTGCTCTCTTCTCTGGAGAGAAGGTCAGCTTCATGGTTTGTCTTCTTTGACTGTCTGTGACCTGGGACAGGGACACATGCTGTGTAAGTTTACCCTATGAGAGTGGACAGAGCTAGGGCAGCTTTCTCTCTAGACCATGGCTTATGGGGCGTTTATAGTATATCAGGCATGGCACTGAGGCTGCTGTAACTGCTCCTTATGTTGCTGCTTTGCTGTATTCTGTTCCACTGATTTCATTGTCAAGTCTTTCTGTACCATCTGTGCTTACTGTGATGCGGAAATACATAATCAGTCATTTCTTTTCCCCCACTCCGCTAAGCATCTGCTCTGCAAGTTTTATATCCACTTCGACTGTATGTCTGTATAGCTTAAATAACATCCTAGTTATATTACACATTAAAATTGCAGAAGGGGGGTTGATTTATTGACACACTGCACACTTTGTTTTAGACTTTTACTATTTAACCATAACATTTTCATTCACGTACCATCACAGGCTTAGTCCCAGTTCTGGGAACAACTAAAACCATATTTTTGATAATACCAACTGGAATGAGGCGATTGCTACCAGTGGAATGAGATGGGACTGCTGTGCATTTCAGCACAGCTGGTTATTACCATAATATAAAACATTGCTTTCTTTGCCAAGTAAATAGGGGATAACAACCTACCTTCTCTATGCATGCCTCTGGGGGGAAAAAGTGCTTCCCTGTAGCTTACTGTTGTTGTACAAATTACAGCTCTGTTTATGCGCCGAGTCAGTGTCAGCAGAAAGCTGCAGAAAACAATCTTGTTTTATGAACAGGGGGACAGAGGGGAGTTGTGGCCATAGCAGTCATATACTGTAGTTGGCTATCCTGTGAGGAAGAAAGAGAGCATGAAAATGATAGAATGAGCCAGAGAGAAGCAGAGAGACGTGTCAGTCCATATGCAGAGGCACTGAGTATTCAACTCTGACAAACAAATGGTCCATTGCAAGAGATAGAGAGGGAGAATAAGAAAAAGGAAAACAGTTACGAGATGCTCTTCATCCCGACTGTGAAGTTATCACATATAGGGCATCTCTTCTTTCACTGTCACCTCTCCTGCCTGCGACGAATGACACAGCATCAGTCAGGAGGATCTGGGAGACACCAGGAACACATTCACCTTAGGCCAATCCTGTCCAGGACCTCATCCATCTCCTCACACCACCTCCTTGCCATTCCTCCTCCTATCCAATTTACAGTGTGCAACGTATCACACTTTCGTCGGTCAGCTCTCTTGATATCGCTCGTCACCTTGCAGCAGCACATTTCTTTCTCACCTCTCTGACTAACCGTCCTTCTTTTCTTCCCTCTCTTCTTTTCTCCCCCCATTTTTGCTGTGCAATGCAGCGTGATTGAGAACCCTTGCCTCTGTCGAGGAAAGGTGAACTATGTGAGAGCATGATGTCCAGCTGGGGGAGGGGCAGTTTAGGAACTGTGCTGGACATGCCAGACTGAAGAAAACATGTTAGAGAAAAATCACATTGTCAGTTTTAAGTGTATATCACTTCCTCTCTGCCTTTTTTCTCTATCTCTCTTTCTCTCTGCTTTTCTCTCTCTGAATGACACCTTGTGAAATGAATATGCAAACTGTCTGGCTTTTAGGTCCACTGTGTTGGATAAATTAAATCTTCTTGTGGGCTATCCCCGATTCAAGGTTTGCCCACTAGGGGCAGTGCTGCTGCACAGGAGCAAAATCCCAGTTGTCTTAAATATCTTCTGCCCCTTCCCTGCCCCAGTAACCTTCATTATCTCCCACCCCCTCATATATCTCATGTCAGAACTCCTGATTTCACCACCCAGCCACAGTAAGCTGTTTCTTAGTCCTGGAAAGCACGTCTTAGTACCCCCGGCAGCCCCTATTTCATTTACTGCTGTCTATTAACGGCTGTCTGACAACTCTAAACCCGCTTTTCATGGGCGGCAGGCTTTGATACATAATTCTCAACCAAAGTATAATTAAATGTCTTTCCAATGTCATATTGAGATGTGTGGATTTTTTATACATGGAGAAATCATTCTCACTTCTCCAAAGGGGGAAAAAGAGAAATGCAGCACATTACTTTGCAAAACACATCTCAAAGAGAAATACCAATTTTCAGCTTCATTATTATGAAGTTATTTGTAAGCAAAACACGCTGTTGTCTAACGCACAGATTATGACTATAATGACTCAAAGGCAATTAATTTATTCATCCTTATTTTATCAGAATGCTAAAACCAATATACATTGCATGTTGTCATAAGCTTTGCTGTTCCACCAGACTTAGTTCCAGTACAAGCTGCTTGACTAATAACCACAGAACAGAGACCGAATTTGTTCTGAACTTTGTCTATATTCTTATGAGAGTCTGGTAAATTACAATTAACAAGTGTGCTTGTTAGTATCTGATATGAACTAAATTAATTTCAGTTCAATAAGTTGTAAGACAATCCAGCAATCTGAAAGATAGGGAACAGAATCACCCCTCCTGCAAATAAACAAATACAGTATTAAATAGGAAGATTGTCAAAGAGTCAGTCAGTCATTGTGGCCACAAGGTACAGTCAGTCAGAGTCCAGAGTTGGTCCCCTCCTGGCCGGGTTCTGCCTGTTTGTAAATTAAACAAAGAGGATGCGAGTCAGGATATCCTTGCTTGAGCAAGCTATCAGTGCATAGTTCCCATGGTCTCCAGGCACAAACATCTCCAACCATTTCAGAAAAGAGAAGCAGATCTCTCCAAGATTATATAAACACTTAGCTCACCCATAACTATCAACTATTTCCTACTGCAAACAGTATCTATATGTAATCTACTCCTGCTATATTCTATTACATATTACCTTTTAACTGGTACCTTGTTTGTTTGTTGTCATTTCCTCAGTCACCATACAGTACATGGCAATTGGCTTGAGTAATGTACCATGTCTAGATCAAGGCATCGATACACAGTGACAGATGATGTCATCAGCTGATGATGAGGCTCAATAGAATGCAGTTTGTTTCCTTGTTTGTGCTGCACATCCCATCAAGGCTAGCAGCTTAAGTCACCTCAGCCACTGTGACCCCTGCTCATTTCTGTGCCACGACAGATTAAGCCCACTGTAATCTCTTCGAGCCGAATGCCCTGTTGGATATTTATGGTAATAAGTAAAGATATGAATAAATAATCTACTGTAGGAGGCTGCTGCTGGACAGCTGGGACTTGTACAGCCCAATGTTTGGCAGTCGTAGCATTAAAAAGAGATGCTGTTTCCAAGGAAAATATAGTTCTGGCTAAGACTCAGCCAAATACTAAGACAGTATTTAGATGTCATGTGAGCAAAGAAGAGTTTGGGCAGTGACTTTTTAAAACACTAAACATTCATTCATTCATTTTCTACTGCTGAGTCCCTGAACGGGGTCACAGGGGGCGAAGCCAATCCCGGCCAGCAATCGGGCGAAGGTGGGGTACACCCTGGACAGGTCGCCAATCCATCGCAGGGCTAACACATAGACGAACAACCACTCACATGCACACACACTCCTATGGGCAATTTAGAGACACCAATCAACCTAAGCTGAATGTCTTGGGACTGTGGGAGGAAGCCGGAGTACCTGGAGAGAACCCATGCAAGCACAGGGAGAACATGCAAACTCCACACAGAAAGGTCCCGGGTGGGGCCCGAACCTTCTGGCTGCACCACCGTGCTGCCTAAACACTAA